AGGAGATGGTAGGCTGGGAGAAATCTCAGTAGTGGGTTTCCAAAAATGAAAGAATCTACAGTGTGGTCAGTACAGGAAGGGGCCTGAACCAAGGGCCAAATTCCTCAGTGAATTTCTTACCATACAGGGGCCTGGCCCTGACTGGGTCTGCTTAGGGCCAGCTGTAGTGCATGGGTTCTTGACTTTCTGTAGGAAAGATTTCACAATATAAGTCCAGGTGACTATGAGGATACATTTATTAAACCTGTGGGCAGTGAAACAAGGAAGTATTTAGGACAGAAGAAGCAGCAGGAGAGCCTAGGTTGGGCTGCCTGAGCTCACCGGCAGGTCAGAGAAAAGTGGACTTTGGGGACAAGCACAGGGGCTTAGCCTGGGAGAAGCTGGCAGCCACTGGTTGCCTCAGAGTTTTGGAGACAAGTACGTGTGGAGAAAGAAGTAGGGAAAGAAGGGAACGGAAATGGTGTTAGCTGCTCCCCAGAGGGACCGCAGAAGCACTGGGTCCTTTGTCTTGAGGCTTTTACCCCTTTATTACAGGTGGGAATCTTAGGGGAGGTCTCAGGGGAGCGATTCAGTAGAATATTTATTCCCCAGGTGTGCCCTTTCAGGGTCAGGGTCTCCACTTGTCAGTGACAGGGCAGGAAATCTGCAGCCATTGCAATTGGTTCTGGCATCACTCACATGATTTTGCTGCTTTTCTGGACCTGGATCGGCAGGTAGGAAAGGGGAAAGAAGTTACCATGGGGGAGAGGTCCTTGATTTCCCAGTTTTGCCCCTGCCACGCCTTCCTCCCTGATGACCATGTACACCTACCTGGCTGTAATTTGCCCGGCTATTGTGTTCAGCTGTCTCAGTTTCCCTATGCCACTTGCCAAGCAATTTTCCTAGCTTCTTACTATCCTGTGTCAAATTCAGAGTGTGTATGTGTATAGGGGGTGGGTCGGGGGAGTGACTGGGAGGCCAAGGAATGTGAAGATAAAAATGTCTAAACTTTAGCTCTGGCTGGTGTGACTCAGTGGTTAAGCACTGGTTTGTGAACCAAAGGGTTGGTGGTTCGATTCCCAGTCAGGGCATATGCTTGGGTTGCTGGCCAGGTCCCTAGTGGGGCTTGCGTGAGAGCCAACCACATATTGAGAGCCAACCACATATTGATGTTTCTCTCCCTCTCTTTCTCTCTCCCTTCCCTCTCTAAAAAATAAATAAATAAAAATTTAAATTAAAAAAATGTGTGAACTTAAAAAGAGTAAGCATGGAACTTCCTTTTGACCCAGTGAATTCTGCTGCTGGGAATATACCCTAAGAATCCCAAATCACCAATTCAAAAGATCCTATGCACCCCAATGTTCATAGTGGCACTATTTACAATAACCAAGTGCAGGAAACAACCTAAGTGCCCATCAGTAAATTAATGGATTGAAAAACTGTGGCACATTTACACAATGGAATACTACACAGCAGAAAGAAGAAGCTCCTACCCTTCACAACAGCATGTATGGAACTGGAGAATATTATGCTAAGTGAAATAAGCCAGTTGGTGAAAGACAGATACCATATCATTCACCTATACGAGGAATCTAATGAACAAAATAAAGTAACAAACAAAATAGAACCTCAAGCATGGAAACATGGAATAGACTGAAAGTGACCAGAGTGGGTGGAGTAGGGGGATAAATGGTGGAAAGAAGGCAAAGAGACTAGGCAAAAAACACGTATGAATGACCCATGGACGTGACAATGGTGTGGGAATTGACTGTGGGAGCAGGGAGCAGGATGGGTGTAGGAGGGCAAAGGGAGAAAAATTGGGACAACTGTAATAGAAAAACAGTAAAAAGGAATTAATAAAAATAATAATCTTAAATGTTAAAAACAAACAACAAAGTCTGAACTGAGTATTGAAGACTGAGAACGATGAGGAAGGGTTCACTAGTCAAAGACGAAAGGGCTTCCAGTCAAAGGAAAAAATACTGAGGCATGCAGGAACATAGGAGCCAGGGACAGGTCGGATCATGACAAACCATGCTGAGGAGTTGGGACTTATCTCCAAGGAGATGAGGACTGGCTCATTCCTCCTCTCCACCTCCTGTACTCATAATGTTGGGGTGTCTCATAAATCATCCTTTTGAGAAAGGCTGAGCCTGTCTTAACCAGAAGGAAATGCCCTTCATTTGTGTGTTAAGCCTTTCCTGGATAACTTTCTCTTCAGGCCCTCTCCAAAGAGTTGCGCTCTGCACCTGTGTAAAGAACCCAGCCCTCTATATGGCAGACCCTGGCAGCAGTTCAGGGAGCCACATACTGTTAGTGTGTGCTCCCTTGATGCATCAAGCTCCCTCCTTGTTTTTAGTAAACATCTCCTTTTGAATGTTTCACCTTAAAAATTTTTTTGATTGATTTTAAGAAAGAGAGGAAGAAACCATTGATTTGTTGTTCCATTTATCTTTATGCATTCGCTGATTGCTTCTAGTATTTGCCCTGACCAGAGGTCAAACCTCCAACCTTGGTGTATTGGGACGCTGCTCTAAACAACTGAGCTACCTGGCCAGGGCTTACCTCTTCTCTTGATTTCTATCTTGAGGAGGGGTAAGAACCCCTTCACCAATGGCATTTTCATTTGTTCTCTACAGCCTCCATTCTTTCATCCATTCTCAGTGCTGCCAAGACACGTAGTTACATCTCCAGACTCGTATATTTGTACAAAGCTGCAAACAGGTGGGGAAGAAAACTGGTATCCAGCTTTACCCACTAGGGTCTGATTTTCAGCTTCATGAGATTGGAAACTATTTTATCAGTTCTCTAATCTCCTCGTCCCCATCAGACAAGCATGTTGAATGAACTCAAAAAGACTCTGGAGGCTTTGGCTTGAGATAAATGATCAAGATTTATCAAGGGTTTAGTGTTTGTAAACTAGGAACACAACTAGGCAATACCTAGATTGTGTGGGGGTGGTGGGGGGAGAAAAGCTAAGAGTTCTTATGAAGTGTATTCTTAAGAATTAGTCCTGCATTCTTAGCCTCTGGCCTGGTCTGAGAATGGAAATCCTCTCAATTACTGGTGGTCTGGCTCCTGTGTATCATCAGGTGGTCTGGATATGTGAACATTCTTCCCTTAGTACTTTAGGGGGTTATCAGAGGGTTATCTGAAGGTTTGATGTGTATCCAGAAACTGATAGTTCAAAAGTTTAAGTTCCCAGGCTAGTTAAAACAAGAATGGTCATTTATTCATGCCTGAACCTACTTTAGTCATTTTTAGCAGCTTGAATAGAGAATGACTCCATCTCTTCACTTTCCTCAGTAGAAAATCAACTTGTACTAAATATATAAAGACTTGTGGGGCCCAAAGCATCACAGGTTCGATTCTCAGCCAGGGCACATGCCTGGGTTGCAGGCCATGGCCCCCAGCAACCACACAATGTTTCTCTCTCTTTTTCTCCCTCCCTTCCCTCTCTATAAATGAATAAATAAATAAATCTTAAAAAAAAAGACTTGTGGGTAAATGGAAAGCCAATTTATTGATTTATAGGAGCTTTATTGATTTTGCCTGTTTGCTGTTTTTAAAAACTTATTGGTATGATTCTGATTATAAAAACAATGCATGTTCATCAGATTTTTAAAAATCAGTAAAGTATGGACAAAATAAAAATCATCTACCTCACTTCTATAATAATCAATAACATTTCATGTCTATCTTCCTCTATTTGTGTGGGTATAGTTCTAACAATATTGGGATCATACTGTATATACTTTTGTATCCCATTTTCTCTTATTTTTATATGGTAAGCATTTGGGGAAAAGCCTTTATTACATTGGCAGTTCCTAGAATATATCTTATTTGTACTATCTGGAGACTCCGTTTCCAGTTTCAAGGTCCACTATCAGAAATTTGCTTAGATGAGCATGAAATCAGAGCTAAAGTGAAAAATAATAATATAAAAAATCAGGTAATTGTATCAAAAAGAACAGTAGATTCCTAGGTTACTGGGGCCATAAGCCCCCTAACCTTTCATACTTGGCCCTCAGGGTAGGGGTTTAGGGTCCAGGTGACCGCAGGTGGAGGCCCAGGGTCAAGTCTATGGCCTAGCCCCTGGGACAGGTGTTCCTGTGGAAGGGACCCCACCCCACAAAATGGCTTCGGGTGGTCTCACTGGGTGTTTGGCAGGCATAATAAGCAAGAGAAAGTGTCTCAGGCCGGCCCCATTGAGTCGAAGTGGGGTGGGGGAAAATAGGCCATTTTCCAGGATCTCGCTCTGGCCTCCGGCCCCGCACCCGCACCCGCCACCCGAGGCGGGAGCAGTCCCGGAAGGGAAGGCGGGGAACAAGCAGTGACCCCGAAGCCATGGGGGCCAGCGCAGAGCCGGTGCCCCCGCTTTTCGGGGATGGAAGCTCAGGGGTCCCTCTCCTCTGAAGGCCTAGCCTCGGGGTCCCCACCGGCCTTCCCCGCCACCCCCACGAGCAGGCAGGATGAGTCCTCCCCAGCGGCCCGCCTCCCCGAACCCCTCAGTCCTGCGGTCGCTTTAAGTCAATATGGCGCAGGAGGCCACCAGCGGGAAGTCCGCGCAAGTCCCGCCCCGGGCCCCGCCCCGGGCCCCGCCCCGGCCGCACCGCGGGACCGTCCCCCTCTCGACTTCTAGGCGTCCCCGCAGCTGTTAGTCGGCGCGCGGAAACCATGGTTGGAGGGTTGGCGGGGACCTGGGCTGTGTTTGGCCCGCTTCTTTGGGGCTGCGGGCTGGCGCTGCAGGGCGGCATGCTGTACCCCCGGGAGAGCGCGTCGCGGGAGCGCAAGGAGCTCAACGGCCTCTGGAGCTTCCGCGCCGACTTCTCCGACAATCGGCGCCAGGGCTTCGAGCAGCAGTGGTACCGCGCGCCGCTGCGGGAGGTGCGGGCTCCAGGAGCAGGGGTGACGAGGCCTGGGCAGGGGCGCTCCCAGAAGCCCGGTAGGGAGCGTGGGAGCCCTGCCCTCGGAGCCGCAGGCCTGGACGTGGTTCAAGATAACGGGCTTGCGGCGTCCGGTGGGGGCGGGGGCGCCTGCGGAACCGGAAGAGGGGTGTGGGCGGTGGGTGTCTCGGAGACCGCCTGCGGGGCGCGCGCCCACTCCCCCTGGGCCCGGGGAAGGGCCCCACTCCAGCCCGGTCCAGTCGGGTAGGCCGAACCAGAGCAGGGTCCGCGGCACCGAGCTGGGCAGGCGGGGGAGGAGGGCAGGCTTTACACATCTTGGAACCAGCTCTGCCCTGACAGGCAGGACCTTGGGTTCCAGGTTTAGGTGGAGATCGTGGCTTGGCACCCAGGCAACTAAGGATGTCATTTCAAGTTTCACCTCTGACTGGGGTCAGGGCTGCGGAGAAGTGGGACTGTCAGCCTCTTCCCAGATCCTTTTTTTCGGTCTTTGCTGCCCAGGATTCAGCAGGAAAAGGAAGAAAGAAAGGGGGTGGGGTGGGTGCTAGGCATGTGCTCCACTCAACAGTTTCCTCAGTAAAGCAGCCCGTGCATGGCCAGCCTTCCTCTTTGGGGTGTCAGTTGATCATCTTCCTCTTAGTCATCTTCCTCTTAGCCAGGTCTCTGCCGATCCTTCTCCTTTCATTCAGGCTGCGTGTGGCCCTGTGCTCACCTCTTTTCCTGGAGATCCTGGTGCCCATTGCCTTGAGAAAGAACTGGTCCCACCAGTCCTTGGACATAACCCATCCTAGCAGTCCATCCCTCATCAGCAAGTTATCTGTTCATTCAGCCAATATATATCGTATTCCTACTATGTGCCAGGGCTTGTGTCAGTGGCTGGGGATACAACTCTGAAGGACAGAGGAAATCCCCTCCTTAGAGGTCCATGCCCCACACATAAGATGTCTTTAGGAAAATCAGACTGTTTCCAGGCCCACTCAACTGTCTGCCTCACTCTTGCTTGCCTTCTGCCTGAGGTGTTCAAGGGATTCCCTGCGGGGCTCAGGTTCACTCAGTTCTGCCAGGTTGTCCTGAGGCAGTATCCCATGGGCCTGGCCCTGAAAGGCCTTCCCTGACCCCTTTCACTCTCCACACTTTAGTAATAGAGCTGATCACCTGACAGCAGAGGCGTGTCCACCATTTTATTCCTAGCATCTGAAACAGCATTCATTGTAAGTGTTCATTGTATACTGTCCATTGAATGAGCGACTGATGTGTACTTCTGGATATGTGGGAATTAAATGAGCTCCACAAAAGGCATTGGTCAGTTGCTGGCAAAGATTAACAACGGTGGAGTGGCCCAGAATTCCAGGGTCTGGAGAAGCCTTCCTGCAGGCAGGGTTGCTGGGGGACCTGGCCTCTTAGGAGAGGGGGCCACCTGGGCCCTGGTCTTAGATTTCTAGGTGGTCTGGTCCTGATCCTGGCCCTTCTTTCCTCAGTGGGGTCCTACCCTGGACATGCCTGTTCCCTCCAGCTTCAATGACATGGTCCAGGATGAGCGGCTGCGCAGATTTATCGGCTGGGTGTGGTATGAACGGGAGACGATCCTACCCCAGCGATGGACCCAGGACCTGGGCACAAGAGTGGTGCTGAGAATTGGCAGCGCCCACTACTATGCCATTGTGGTCAGTGCAGTGAGCAGCAAGCAGGGCGAGTGGGCAGGTGCAGTAGCTGAGCATGAGTAGGGCTGCCTTGGGGTGCCTGGCTCCCAGCTGTCATCTGACAGCCTATCTCCTGAGGTAGATGTGTGTGTGTGTGGGGGGAATGTTTTGCCCCACACTGGGGTTTGTGCCCTGGGTTGGGGAAGGCTGCCCAGTCTCCTTTGGAGTTCCATTCCTCCCATCAGGCCAATGAGGCAGGTGGCAGCTGGCAGGGCGTCTGTGTGAAGGAATGCATGAGATGGCAGTGCCTCTCATACTCCAGCCTGCTGCCCCCGCCCCATAAACCCTATGTGTCTGCAGTGGGTGAATGGGGTCCATGTGGCAGAGCACGAGGGGGGCCACCTTCCGTTCGAGGCGGACATCAGCAAGCTGGTCCAGAGTGGGCCCCTGTCCTCCTGCCGCATTACCATCGCCATCAACAACACGCTCACCCCCCACACCCTGCCACCAGGGAACATCATCTACAAGACGGATACTTCCAAGTGAGCAGCACCCTGCTCCCCCATCCCAATCCCCACCCTGCCCAGTGGTCTTCCCACTAGGGGCAGGGAGCCTTAGCAGAGGTGAGGTTGAAGGCCTCAGGGTAAGGCCCCAGCTGGCCGTTGTCTTCCCACTATAGGTACCCCAAGGGTTACTTTGTCCAGAACACAAACTTTGACTTCTTCAACTATGCTGGACTTCACCGGCCCGTGCTCCTCTACACGACGCCCACCACCTACATTGATGACATCACCATCACCACCAACGTGGACCAAGACACTGGTGAGGGCTCCTGGCAGGATCTGCCCTCTGCCAGGCCCAAGGTGGCTCTGTTCCCTGTTTAGAAAGATGCCTTGGGAGAAGGGCTCTTCCAGCTTCTCTTAACCCTCACAGGTCCCCATCTACCTAAGAAGCTAAAATCCAGCCCATGTAAGCTGTCAAGGGCTTCCGAAATACCCATCTGGTCTGACCTCATTTTATTGAGAGATAAGGCGCAATGAGAAAAGGAGCTTGCCTAAAATCTTGTCACTCAGCATAGGTGGTGACTCTGTGTTCCTTCTGTGTTGTGCGCCCTCACTCAGTCTCTCCTCACTGCAGATCAAGTTCAAGAAATAACCATCATTGGTGGGGTCTCAGGGCCTGGGAGGACTCTGAGTGCTGGCTTCAGGGTCTTCTCATCCGTACGACCCAGATCATATCCTTCTGTCTGATCTCTCTGGTCTCCCACAGGGCTGGTGTACTACCAGATTTTCATCCAGGGCAGTGACCACTTCCAGCTAGAAGTGTATCTTCTGGATAAGAATGGCAAAGTCGTAGCCCAGGGGACTGGGGGACAGGGCCAGCTGCGGGTGCCCAGTGCCCACCTCTGGTGGCCGTACATGATGCATGAACACCCTGCCTACCTGTACTCGTTGGAGGTAATGGTGGTTAAGACTGGGGCTGTGGGAGGCCTTTTGCCCCATCCAGCAGCCCTACCTGCTTTAGCATGGGTGCAGGACAGGTGGGCGGGCAGGCATGGGCCTCTGAGCTCCCTAGTCAGTTGGACTGAAGTGTTCCCAGCCTGATTTTTTTCAACCCTTGCTGGGGCAGCCCAGATTTGAGGAGCAGACCCCATGGGCTGGGTGGGTTTCTCCTTGCTAATGGCAGAAACCTGTACTTTCTCAGTCTCTCTGCTTGTGTCCCTGAGGTGGGCCACTGTGGCATACAAGGGCCTTCCTACAGGTAGGCAGGCTGTGGGGGGCTCGGGCCATGAAGGGTGACTCACGCCAATGCTTGGCTCTGCAGGTAAAGCTGACTGCACAGACGGCAGCTGGGCCTGTGTCTGACTTCTACACTCTCCCCGTGGGGATTCGCACTGTAGCTGTCACAAAGAACCAGTTCCTCATTAATGGGAAACCTTTCTATTTCCATGGGGTCAACAAACATGAGGATGCAGACGTGAGTTGGGGCTCCTGTGTAATTGTGGGGGCTGTTTCTCATCCTTACCTTCCCTGTGCCCCCGAGCAGTTGAGGGTAGCTCAGAGCAGTTCAGCCAACTGCCCAGAACTGCTGCCTGATGGGCCCTGTGCTTGTCTCGATAGAGGGTAATGGGCCCAGCTCTAGCAGGAAACGCATCTGGGACAGGGGGTGGGGGTCATGTTACTCTGCTGTCCCCTAGATCCGAGGGAAGGGCTTTGACTGGCCACTGCTGGTGAAGGACTTCAACCTGCTTCTGTGGCTTGGTGCCAACGCCTTCCGTACCAGCCACTACCCCTATGCGGAGGAGGTGATGCAGCTCTGTGACCAGTACGGGATCGTGGTCATCGATGAGAGCCCTGGCGTGGGCATCGCGCTGGTGTGAGTGCCCACTGCCCATGCTGCTCAGCCCGCCGCCTGGGCAGGCCATAACGGGCTTCCTTTTCTCCCCCGCCCCATAGCCAAAGCTACAGCAATGTGTCTCTGCAGCACCACCTGGAGGTGATGGAGGAGCTGGTACGCAGGGACAAGAATCACCCAGCTGTTGTCATGTGGTCTGTGGCCAATGAGCCCACTTCCTTCCTGCAACCTGCAGGTTACTACTTCAAGTGAGTGCCCCCGCCTGCCCTGGCCTGGGTCAGGGGAGAGACCTCACCTTCAGCCCAGCTCAGCCTTGGCTGGCGGCCTTTGGAGAGTCGAGGTCTCCCTGAGGGGTGTGTGCTAGAGTCAGCATCCAGCTCCCAGCCCAGACCTGAGAGTGTATCCAGACCTGGTCAGTTCAGGAGACCAGGTCCCTACCCAGCTAAGCTGTGGTTTCAGCTGAGCGAGACTCTGCCCGATTTTCACACCTGAAATGAAATTCAGAGGTAACCTAACCTACTAACATTCAAATTAAGAAAAAAATAGTGGCATGGCCTAACTGATATAAAGGAGAGTCATTGATAAAATACTCTGTGAATGCATGGGCCTGACTCCCCAGAAGACCAAGTGCAGGGGTCAGATGCTTACACCTAGTTTTGGAGTCTCGTGAAAGCATAGCTTCAAAAGCTGACAGTAGTGATACCACAAACAGCATTCCCTTCAGTGCCGTGCATTTCCGAAATGGTGAACCGCTCTAGGTAAAGTTCCGAATAAAACTAGGTATACTCTTCCCTCACTTTTAACAGTATCTCCCTTCCTGGGAAATTTTGTGTGTGTTAAAACTTCAAAAACACGCAGTGTCTGATGCCTTGGTTTCATCTGTAAAGTGGAGTTAAGCTTCATAATACCAGCTTATTTGCCCACATAATTACAAACAGGTTTTTCAACGACATGCATATCCTAACTATTCTAAAGTTTCATTATTGGGCAGGGCTAGGCCACCTACAGTTCCTGGTTCCAGTAGCTCCTTGCTCCCACATCTCCCCCACACCCCTGCCCCTGCGTTCCAATGGAAATGAACACCACTTGGGGGCAGTGTTTCTCAGTGGGAGGGTGGAACTCTCCCCCACCCCCAGCCCAGTGTTTTCCTAGGTTCCTTTTCTTCCAGTCCTGCAGAGGAGAATTAATTCACTTGCTGCGTGAGGCCATCAAAACAGTCCCTGAGGCACACTGCTTGCAAGTTTCACAGAGTGGCTTTGAGCTGAGCCACATCTGTAGAAGGCTCTAGAAGTGACCCACTGGGGCAGAGTGACCCACAGCTCAGAGCACGCAGCCCCAGAGTGCATGGGGCGCAGGAGTGTGTCGAGCCAGGGCTGGTGAACAGCGCTTTGTTGTGAGGGTGAAAGAAGTGTATGTAGGCTCCCAGGAATGGGTGCCTGAGGTTCTGGGTGGGCTCTTTTTGGGAGGTGGAAAGAAGGAGATACATGATTTTTGGAGCCGCAGGGATGGGGGCCAGACATGTATAGAGCTGCCTGGGTTAGAGGAGCTCAGCTAGCCTCTGAAGTTCCCAGGTGATGACCAGGGTGTTTCAGAGTGTGGGTTGCAGAACTAAGTGTAGGGGGTACCTGTTCTGGCCCATGGAAACCACCGCCTTAGAATGAGGAGAGCAATTATGGGGAGAGGGGGTCACTAGCTGTGAGGAAGAGTAGAGGAAAACAGGCTTACACAGTGACTGAGGGTGTCCTGGTCTGACAGGTTCCTCAGCTGGGAAGCCTCTTGCCATCCCTCCTTGGTTAATGTGATTCAGCATTAATGCTGCTTCTATCAGCTGTCACCGACTGACCACTGTCAGTTACTGTGTGCCTGTTACTGTCTCCTGGAACTCGCTTTCCTGCCACCACTTGTAGTTGCGATTTCTGGCATCTGCAAGTGTCCCTGCTCCCCCTGCTCCGGGAGGCTGGGGGAGGCTGGGGGCGTAGCTGTCGAAGGCCCCAGAGCCTGCCCCATACACAGCGCATACCCTGCCCCCAACACCTGTTCTCTAAGGATTTGTTCAGTTAACGTCCACCCTAATCCATGCCCCATCCACTCCTGTTTTCGAGGGCTCTTTCAGAGATTCAGAACCAGGTTTGGGCAGTGCCCAGCCCAAGGACCTCAGCTCTGTGCCTGCTTTTCCCTGTGAGGTGGCCTCTTTGGGGGGGATGGGGGGGTGTAGGGTTTGGGGAGGGAGAAGGTGTGGTGTCGGGACGTGATCGCAGACTAGAGGAACATGGTTGCTTACCTACAGTACTCTTAGAGGTAAGGAGGAGAGCAGTGTTGTTTTTTGGGGGGGCTGGGAGGGCGGGTGGCCAAGAGGTGGCTACCACAGCCCTTCTGGCCTGACAGGAGCCCTGCCTTCTGCCCTCCATGGACAGGACGCTGATCACCCACACAAAAGCCTTGGATCCCACCCGGCCCGTGACCTTTGTGACCAACGCCAACTATGAAGCAGACCTGGGGGTAAGCCTGGGGGGTCCCCACACCACTCTCATCCACTCCACCCTGTCTTCAAGTTTGGCCTTGAGCTCCAGTGAACACTGTTGAGTCCGAGGTCAGCGGGAACACCCTGCATGGCGTGAGCCTTATGGTGCCGGGCCTCGGACATTAGGAAAACTTGTACAGCAGGAGCCTCTGTGGCAGGAGGGGAGCTCCTGGATCAGTGTGACTGGAAGAACCAGGAGCTGCCAGTGCACCATTTTCATAGATGGTCTCTAGGTTAAAGATAACTACCTGCCTATTCACCAGGCAGAGTGGCTTCATAAGTCTGAGGAGTCTGGACCCAGGGATATTCAATTTGTTCTCGGTCCATATTCTACCTGGGTCAGTTTAATTTCACGGGCCTCAGTGTATTATGCGCAATAAAGAGCAAAGGATTAAGGGAGCATAAAGCTGCCATTGTGCGGTCCTTCACAATCATCGGAACCACCGCGAAAAGCTTTTTGCAAGTGCAGATGTCTGGATGTTGAGATCCCGATTTAGTCAGCCCAGGGTGGGAATTGTGTTTTTTAAAAGCTCTTCAGTGATTCCAGGCACCCACCCACTTTGGGAGCCACTGACCAGGTCCTGATTGAAAATTGAAGGGGCAGGCTCCCACAGCTGGCTGGACCACACGGCCTCCCTCGCTGCCCCTGGCACAGCAGCCCCTCAGGGACAATGCCTTCAGTTGCCCTGATGCTGAAAAACGGGAGCAAAGAAAATGTTCCTTCTCTGGAGAACAAGGCCAGTACCTAGGAGAAAAGTGCTACAGAAAGAGAAATCATCTAGAGAGAGAACAGAAGACACACTATATACAAAAGTAAATTGAGAATGCTCATTTTAGCATGGATGGAGAAAAGCATGGAGCCCTGGTGCTCCCTTGCCGTCTCCGAAAACACCCCTTCAAAGAAACATAAAGACTGGGCTGAAACACCAGCATGGCACGAGGAAACCCTCGTGTGCTCAAGGCCAAGTGGCATCTCCTTCTGGTCTAGTCCTTCTGTTGCAAGGCTCATCTGGTGGGATGCGTGACTCATGTACATGTGTCCACCCAGAGGTCCCCCCCTCAGCTCCTTCCTCCTGTCTGCATCTTTCTGCCCCCACAGTTGAGAGAGGCCACAGTCACTTGGGAAAGACAGGCCCCATCAATCCCAGGGCCGGGTCTGGAGGCGAACCATGTTCAATTGATGTTAGAGGCTAGACACTGGCCTGTCTGGTCTTTGCCAACAAGTCCTGAGCTTTGCACTGTTTAGACTCAAGCAGCGCTGCCCCATCGTCTTGGCTACCCTGCTGTGGTGGGGGGTGGGGAGGGCATATTTTACAGCCTCGTTACAGCCCACAGCGCTAGCTCCGGAATGGTATGGTGAATTAGGATTCTTTGTGAGGAGAAAAACTGCATCTATCCCTCAGATGGGAACATTCTTCCAGGGCCAGGTGAGGGAGGACCAGGGCCAGGTGAGGGAGGACCAGTGCCAGGAGCACTCCCTGGGGAACAGCGAGGCCAGCTCACTGGGCGCTCGCCCTGCCTCAGGCCTCCACCAAGCTGCGGCCGGGCCAGGTGCATCAGTCCAGGGTTGTGGACTTGCTCCTTTCAGGTCACTTCTTGACTATGTGTCTTACACTTGTAAGCATCAAAATCATTTCTAGATCCCCTTTTTACCTGCTCTGCCAGAAGAGCCCCTGTGTATGAGAGTTGTAACACCGTTACACAGTGTTCTGGTTTGTGAACAAGCTTTAATGCTCTTGTCCTAGGCACCATACGTGGATGTCATCTGTGTGAATAGTTACTACTCCTGGTATCATGACTACGGGCACCTGGAGGTGATTCCGCTGCAGCTGGCCACCCAGTTTGAGGACTGGTATAAGACCTATCAGAAGCCAATTATTCAGAGCGAGTATGGGGCAGACTCTATTGCAGCATTTCACCACGTAAGTTGTATAAGACATTGCTTATTTTTTTCACTCTCTTGGGCAGTGGTGTCACTCATTGCCCCAAGTTAGAAACGTACCTTCTTCCCTGTCCCTCACACCTCCCTGCAGTTCTCCACTTACTCAGCCTGTCTCTCTGCACACATGCCTGCCCACAACTGAGGCCTCTCCCCCCTTGCTTTGTCCTCAGAGGCAGCCTCTTTCCTTTTGGAATTTTTTAAATCCTCACTGGAGGACTTGTCCATTGATCCTAGGGAGGATTAGGGAAAGGAGAGAGAGAAACATCTATCTGTTGCCTCTTGTATGTGCCCTGATCAGGGACTGAACCCACAACCTTACGTATATGCCCTGACTGGGGATTGAGCCTGAACCTGAAGGTATAGGGGACAACAGTCAAGCAACTGAGCCACCCGGCCAGGGCCCTCAGAGGCAACTTCTTCATTAGCTTATTGGCTTCCTTCTGCCTGGAATGCCCTCATTAGCACCACAATTGCCAATGAATAGATTCTTATTCCGTGCTCAAGTCTCAGCTTAGATGTTCCCTCTTTGATGAGGTTTACCCCATCTCCCCAGCCAGAGGAAGCTGCTCCCTCTGCCTGGTCTCTGTTCAGGTACTTCTCACTGCGCACCATCGTTTCTTCAGCTCTCTCCTTGACCAGACTGTGGGCTCTTGGAGGGAGACTGAACCCCATGATGGTTGCTTCCCAAGCACCCAGCTGTGGCCAGCACACAGCGGGTGCAGAACCATGTTCCTTAAGGGAGTGAGTGAAATCTTGGAGCAAGTTTTAATCACTAGCTTTTTTTCTCATTATTTTGTCCATTTCCTCACCAAAGATACGCTGCCTTGTCTTGTGGGAGTTTTTTTCATGTGGATTCTTGAACCGTAGCCAAGTCTTCATCTGCGCCCAGCCTCCTTACCCTTGTCTATTGCAGCTACTAGGGTTCTTTGTTGACACACATTTCTTAATATGCTGATTCTTGGTATGGTGAACAGCTGCCCCCATGGACTATATTCTGTTCACACCTTTAAATTCATCTTGCTTACACAGAGTGCCACTTCTACAAAGTTGTGAAGAGGGGAGATAGCTTATGAAATGTACATGCACATTTGTTCTCCCTCTTTAAATAGCTAGCGAACTAAGAAATTTTAAGAAACTCTGAGAGTCTTGGTTAGCACTGTCTGCTAAAAGCTCTCACTGTCCAAGAGGGTAGCTGTTAGCCACACATGGCTATTGGGGACTTGGAATGTGATTAGTCTGACTGAGCTGATTTGGTTAATTTAGTTTTAAGTTTAAATAGACATGTATGGCTAGTATTAGATAATGCAGGGTCATTTCTACTAAAACAACATCTACATCATGTCCTCAGATTCAACTTTGGAACTGGAACAAAGCCTGCCTTAATTGTACGGTTATGTTTTCAGTTCACCTTATATAGCATTTTGATCCTTCTCATTGGAAAAGGCAAAGCCAGTAGGGTTTTGTTCCCTCACAAATGACTGGACCCCAGCATCCTTCAGCATCTGAGTTGAGCTCCCCCAAATTCCCATGAGATGAAAACTCAGACCCAGGTGCATGTAAAAGATCTTGTGTCTTCGTACAGAACACACAGGAGCTCTCACCAAATGTGGGATGAGTGCACAGGTGCTGCCTCCTGCTGCTGTTGTGGACGGCCCACTCCTCACCTGGGGGCCCAGGCTCAGAGGGTTCCTCGGGGTCCTTTCTGTGGCCCTGTCTCAGTGAGCTCCTTCTGCTGAGCATCCCTGGGTTCCTGCTTTGCACTCACCCTACTTACCCTCAGGACACTTCAGCTCGTATCTTTCTTGCTGGCTTGTGAAGCCTGTGCGACAGGGACACTTTTCTTTCTTGTTCCCCACTTTCTCTCTAATGCCTGCTATATTGGGCTGAGCAGCAGCTACTTCCCCAGACCAGATACAGACGAATCTGAGGTGACTTAAATCTGAGTCACACTAGTTCTTAGACTGGACAGTGGCAGCTACTTAAGACTTGAGTTTTAAATTTATTATCCAGAGACATTTTTACTTTCAGTGTAGTTCACCTGGTGAATAGAGAAAACTAAGATAAAGCAAGTATCAGATTATATTTATAAAGTACTTACTAATTAAGGTTTAAGAAAAGCTCCTTTTTCGACTCTGGGCTCCGACATACCCTGCCTGTGTCTCCGCAGCAGCAGCAGCAGCAGCACCGGCGAGTCCCGCAGGCGTGGCAGCCCACCCCAAGGGCAGATATTTTGGTCCTCATCACATGGATCTTATTTTTATTCGACATTTACAATTCTGTCAGTTCTGGCTCTTACATTCTCCCTTTGCCTTGAATTCCAGGACCCGCCGTTGATGTTCAGTGAAGAGTACCAGAAAAGTCTGCTGAAGCAGTATCATTTGGTTCTGGATGAAAAACGCAAAGAATATGTGGTTGGAGAGCTTATCTGGAACTTTGCTGATTTTATGACAGACCAGTGTAAGTGGCATTTTGGTTTATGGAATGTACCATTTCTGATGTTTTCAGATTGGTCTTTCAGTTCAGGACAGTTGGTTGTAAGAACACTGCAAATAAGAGAGGGCAAGCTTATCTAATCAATGTGGGCCACCAAGAGCATTACGTAGGAAAAGGAAGGTGCACTTAGCAAGCAGTAGTCACTTGCCAGCTTCCCCAATGATTTTATGGTAAAAAAAGAAAATGGGAAAGCCTACTGTCTTGGGAGAGAATGGCTAACTTGCCGTGTGTTTCCTAACAATACGAGGAAGAAGTGGATGTGGTGGGATACACTTGTTGTTCCAGAGTAGGGTGCAAGCCTGAGAAATGTGCACTTGTTATTCACATGAGCAGGGCCTGTCCACCAGAGAAAAACAGGAGAATGTCAAAGCCTTTTAAACGTAGGCGTGTTTAAAAGTCTTCCGAGAAAATACCATCTGCACTCTTTCTCAAGTGGGGAGAGGTGAGGGCGACCACAGATGACTAGTTACTTGATACACCACAAACTTAGGATGGCAGTTTGGGATGTGGGAAGGATTTGGTAGCAGTGGGAGTTAGGATACAGGTCTTTGGAAGGTTAAGGTTTATTTAAAAATTAGAGTGGAAAGGGGTAAACAGAAGAAATGAGAACATGAGCCCCTGCTCTGCTTGGCAAGTATTAGTGGTTTTTGGAAATGTCCTGGATGGCAATCTAGCTTCCCGAGTAGCTGTACTGGCTTCGTGTTGGGAGAAATTAGCTTCGTGACCTTGGCCAAGTTTCCTGAAACCTGTAAGTGCTGATAACGCCTGCCACCTTGCAGATGATGTAGGGATTCCATTTGATGAAGTGCTTGGTACAGTGGCTGGCATTCGCTTATCTTGGAGGAAGTTACTATTGTCTTGAACTTCATGGTGGGAAAGACCTACTTTTGGTTTTACATACGGACGCTGTGGTTTCCACGAGGGGGTGGAGAGGTCTGTCCTCCTGACAGGCTGTTGCCAGCCTTGCTCCCTCCCTCCCCGCTTCAACTCTGAAACCAACCGCAGAAGTGGGAACCCAGCTGGAAGCTCACCCAGGAGGACTTTGACCTCTACTAGCAGATCCTCCCTAGGCACCTTGGACTGGTCAGGACTCTTGCTGCCACTAGGAGGGTCATCTTTCCAAGGGTAACTTTTTGTCTCAGCCCCCTCCAGCTACCAGGCAGCTGGGTACCCTACTATTTTAAACCTTAGTTTAAAGATAAAGTAAAAAGATAAACACAGATGAGAAACACCAGGGAGCTGAGGTGTTTTGGGGGAGGAGGAGGAGGAGTAAAATCTTCAACCCATTAAGTGGCCACATCAGACCAACCAACCATAAAGTATAAGAGGATATTACTGTGTAGTGCCCAGCTTGGCTCCAGGTTGGTTCCAATTTGGCTCATCAGAAGTCATCTGAAACATCTTTTGCCTTGTTTTTAGCACCACAGAGAGTATTAGGAAATAAAAAGGGGATCTTCACTCGCCAGAGACAACCAAAAAGTACAGCATTCCTTTTGCGAGAGAGGTACTGGAAACTTGCCAATGAAACTAGGTACCAGCCGTGGGCTGCGAAGTCACTGTGTGAGAAAGGGCCCGTTTACTCAGTAAAGCAAGAACTACCTCTTCACTGACACCAGCTGCCGGCCCATCCTTCCCAAGTGCGGCCGACGGTCTACAGCAAACAGAGTGCCTCCTGGACTGTGGGTGACAGACCAGGAAGTTTCTGGTCTGGATTTTGTAGTAATTTGCTAGAAGGGAACATTAGAGGTAAAAATAAAGGCTTTTGCAGTATGAGAACTAAGAGCTGGCTCAAAAGTGACCACCCCAAAACTGAATGATCCATACTGCTGAAAAACACCTGAAATTATTTTTATGTCAAGCTGTTTACATAACCTTAACCTTGTATGGTTTTTGAGAAACCTGTGCCTCTCAACACTCACACCTCACTCAGAGTGGCTGAGTACAGATGGTGCGTGTCCACAGGAATAGCCGTGCAGCCTAGGGCCACCCTCCTCACGAGCCAAACCAGGCCAGCCATGACCGAGTGAGAGTCAGACTCCACAGGTGAGCCCAAGGCCCAACAAATTTACAGGAAGTGACGTGCTGGGATAATGACCCAGGTCTGTGCCCTGGTTTCTGGTCAAGAATGGAGCAGTGTCTGAACTGGGAAGGAGCTCAGAGGGTACCAGTTCTTGCAGGGCGTTGTTCCATCCTCAGCCCTAGTCTCTTCCCCACAGAGGTGGAGATGGGCCGAAAAGTCCTTTGACCTCATCGTAACTGATTCCACTGATGGTGAGACCTCTTTAACTACACCGGGCCTGTAGACAAGTACAGCTGACCCTTGACCACCACAGGTTTGAACTGCACGAGTCCACTTTGTATCGACCCAGCAGTGCAAACTCGTGTTGCCCAAGGGTCAGCGCCGTGCTCAGGATCGCACACGCAGGGAGGGGCTCACTGCAGTTAGACGCAGATTGCCCACAGTGCAGGAGGTTGGCACCCCTAACCCTGCATTGTTCAGGGGTTAACTGTATTCCCAGCTCCCAGAGGATGGTCTTTCCTTACGGAATCATTTCTCCTCTTCACAGGCTCCATTACAGCAAGTAAGGGACACTGTTCCTAAAATCTCAGTATTCACCTATCCCAATTTAAGGCTGAATGCTTTAGAAAAAATACTAATTGGTCCAATCAAATGGATGACTCTGAACCCATACAGTTCTTAATGCAGAACTTGGTTCATTCCCCTGGCGGTTGCCTGCGCACGTGGGAACACACGCCCCGTTAGCCTCCCCTTCCAGGAACCACGGCAGACAGTGAGGGCAAGTGGACCTCACTTTAGGGGCCCTCTTTAGACCTCTTTTCAGAAGTGAGAGTAGTCAGTTCAAATAATTAGGAATTCTAGGGGTTACGTATTTCTATTTGCCACTAAATTTCCTTAAGGTAATCATCTTGTGTTTTGGTTCAGTGTCAAAGAATAATATGTAAAAAAACTCTTTACTTGACAAACATTAAAAAGTATACATAACAGATACAGTTTTACAAATCAGGGGTAAGGCCCATTTCTTGATTTTTATAAATACTGTAGAATGAGCCCTGGCTGGTGTGGCTCAGTAGGCTGAGCACTGGCCTGTGAATCAAAGGGTCACTGGTTCGATTCCCAGTCGGGGCACATGCCTGGGTTGCAGGGCAGGTCCCCAGTAGGAGCGCACAAGAGGCAACCACACATGGATGTTTCTCTCCCTCTTCCTTTCCCCTCTCTCAAAAAATGAATAAAATCTTTAAAAAAAACCTGTAGAATGGAGTTTGTAGCTTTATTGGGCATTGACTTTTTTCCTGCCAGCCATACTACATATTTAAACCTCAATAAATATTAATCTACAAAGCACATTTCCTATCATTGTTACCAGAATACCTACAAACAAGTGCTGTTCTCACTTCCCAGCCCTCGGGCACTGCCGGGCAGCCTCATGCAGGTCTCACCTCTGGCTTTTAAATTCAACCTAAGCAATCCATGTAACCAAGTATCTCTGGAATTAGGGTTTTTTTGTTTTGTTTTGTTTTTTTGGACATGGGTTGTTTTCCACACAGTAATACCCACTATAAAAAGTCTTTTCTCATATTCTATGTTTTAACTTCCAGAGTTTTCCACTAAACAGTAGTACTTGGGAATCACAGCTGAGGAGTATGTAATTCTATCACTACAATGTTTTACTTACATTTTAAAAAATGCATTGACTTAAATTTTTTTTAAAGTTCAGTTAATTCTGTTAATAAAATAGTTAATAACCAATTTGCTTATTTTTAAATAGAAGTCTATTCAGTTTAACATGTAAATACCACCTCAGTGCTACTAAAGACTGATTAGTTTTTTAAAGACCCACAAACCTCCAAGCTAATAGGGAGTGTCCTGGTCTCACCTCTGAAGAATGATGGAGGGATGGCCAGCTCTTTGATCTTCCTTTCCCCCAATTCTGTACACACCCTGATAACAGATTACAGCTCTGGGAATTTCAGGGCTGACCTCCCCCAGGACTGCTCAGACGAGGACAAGAGGCTAACTCACAGAAACAACGCTATATTCCCTAATAATGCACAGTGGAAAATTTGCTTTTGGGAGGGTTACCTCCTATTTGCTTATGGGAGGGTTACAGCACAGTGCCTGGCTGGTAGAGAATGTTTACTAGTAAGTGAATGCATGGCTGCTTTGTGAGCCTGGTGTTCCACCCTTTTGTACCAAAGGAATAAGAATTGGCAAACCTGGTATTTGTTGCCCAACTATTATTTTTCTGTCCTTAAGAAAAATGAAGACAAAACAGTAATGAAATAGGTCTCTTAAGACTTTTTTTGTTTTCTAAAAGCCAGAACAGACCCTCACCCTTTTACGTTTGCACTCCAACCCTGCCCTTCACCGCTAATTCTCCCCTAGGGCTATTTCTGCTTTCGCAGTTTAAGACTATTTACTGCTTAGACTGTCCACTTTCTAATGGGACATGGGAGCATTATTTTCATTAGTAGGACGCCTCCATATCACAGGTAGATGTGCTGTTTTCGAGTTTTCTTGCAGGCAGGTAATTACATTTAGATAAATCCTTGATACACTTCAATTCTTGGATCCAGGTGTTTTTATCTTGCCCAATCTAGGTGTCCCATTCACTTTCGATGCCTTATCACCATCGCTTCTATCTGAGCTCCAAGGCTCATTTTCCTTGGAGGCTTTTAGTCGTCCTTTGTCTTCCATTTTCTGAAGTGAATATCCAAATTGGATGAAAGGAAACAGGTAAATTCTTAATTTGGTTTTCAGACTTTATAATTTGTAGGTTGCCTTTTAATGTAGAAAGGAATGTATCTTTGCAAAGAGCATTTCAGTGATCAACACAATATATCTGTAAGACCCATTTCTTAAATCCTAAGGTTCTAGCACCAGACACATTTGTTCTATTCAACAAAACACGGTTAAACTATTTCAAATGGAGTCATCTTTCTTGTAGATGTTACTTTTTAAGAAAACTAAAAATGGAGTACTCAAGGTAAGCTCAAGTAAAGCAGCAGAAAAACAGCTGATTAACAGATACATTCTATGTGCCTACAGAATGGAAAGCAGCAACATCTTTTTCATTCATTCTTGACAACCACATACATTGGAAGCCTACAGGAATTCCAAGCATGGTAATCTCTAAGAATTCTGCTTGTGTCTTCTATAAGTTACATATAATTTGAGAGAAAAAGAATCAACTCACTACACCTGTAGAAATGGGTTACAATATGAGGTTACTTTCAGAGTAGTTTATGAGTGAATTCACTTCAGCTTCTCTTCTAAAATATAACACTGCAGTGTAAGAATGATGGCAGCAACTTCCACAGGTAACTTCTACATTTATTTTATACCAAAAAAGTTATGTGCAACAAATAAACATTCTTACATATTTACATGGTTTTTTACCAGTTAGCAAAACTGTGTCCTAAATCTCTGATAAAGAGTATTCCTATCTATGTTAAAGGGGAATTCTGCCCAGTTAACTCCACTTTAAATGAACGTTTACTCTGGAGTTTAAAGCACTAGTAATAAATATTTTTGATGGAACATACTATACAGATCATACACCTCATACCTAGGCCATGCTTAATACAGTTTTATAATAAAACATCTCACCTTTCTGGGCTAATTTGTCAAAGACATGTTTAACCAAGTAGCCTGGACTCCTACCCATGCCCCTTTTGTTTTATTGACGGGTAGTTCTCACCAATGAGGAATCATAAGTGCGGCCTCACCTACCTAAATAGGGATGTTTCACCTGTGTTTGCATGTTGGGGAAAAATACACGAGGATAAAGGTTGCCTATTAGGTTCTCCTTCTCAAATGGGTCACCAAAAAAAGTAGTGGGTTTCTTGTTGGCATGTGTTAATACTGATTTTTGAGATACTCCAGCATTGCCTGCTGTCAGGCAGTGGTACCAATTTAAGTTATGAAATAATTGCTGAAGGTAACTTTGCACTTCTGCCGATAATCTTGAAAGTAAATATAAATAGAATATAAGCAAACTAAAGCCAACAAATTATTTTTACTGTTGTCTTGGTCCTCTAGCCTACCTAGTAGGCCCAAAGATCTCTCATACCAAAAGATCTTTGTCTCTTCAAATGGCAGTTGTCACTGCTTTCACCATCTTTAAGGTAACGGATTCAAGGAGAGGCTACATACATCAAGTAAGAGTAGTTCTTGGCACCCGGCTAGTCAAACCCGAGTTATTTCACCATAAGTTAACCCGCACTGACAGCAACTAGCTGCAACGAAAAACCAAATTAAATTCTCCAAACCACCTAGATTCCCTAGAATTTATCATCTAACCACAACTTCTCTTATTTCTCCAAATGATGCAACTATCAAGTTAATAAGAGGCTTCATTTGTTACAAATCATATCAAAAAGTAAGAAGCATGGAATTAACACCAAAAACAAATTCTATCTCCCCCCTAACATCTTCGATGTTGGTGGCTAGTAATTTTACAATGTTTACATATTGTCTAAAATAGTCATACCAATCCTCAAATGCTGTAACACGGTGTTTCCCCCCTTCTTCTGGGGTGATGCAGAAGATGCAGAGAGGAGCCTAAATTCGTCCAGGGCACAGATGCAACCGACACCCACCAGGGTCCTGTTGCTTACGGAGGTACTGGCAATTCAATGCTCTCAGTCCAGGCAGCACGTGTTCATCGCTCAGTGAGAAAGAGGTTATTAATTCTGGGTCATAGGAATGTGGCAACATTTTTTTATACAACTCAAACAGTGGTGTTTTCCCCCAGGCTT